CTGTTCGCAGCCTGTTTTCTCAATAAAGCATAAATCTGGTCCTTAATCCACTGTTTATTATGCGCCGTATATGCCTGTACGTCCTCTTGCCACACCAAACACGACAAATCTGTCAATCGATCCAAAAATTCGAATAAATTTTGAACGTCGTACGTTATGGACGCTGAATTCGGATTCAACTTCTTTAGATTCTCTTCGAATATCTTACAAACTCCTGAAAATTCTTGATATCAATAATAAATGACACTCGAGAACAATAATAATAATAATAATAATAATAATAATAATAATAATAATAATAATAATAATAATAATAATAATAATAATAATAATAATAATAATAATAAATAATGATAATAATAAGCAAACAAACAAACAAATAATAATAATAATAACAATAAACAACCAAAAAGCACCTTCAATACAGTCACTGACCGACTCAAAATCAGTCCACGACCTCGAGTCGTGACGTACGGTTGGTTGTATCAATAAAATTGTATGTGACATATTTCGTTTCAATGCGATCCGAATAGATCTAAGTGAAATTAAAAGATAACAAATAAATTTCTTATCAGTTTATCAATCCCTTTTATCACTTTTATCACCGCACACAATTCCACTTCCCGAGCCCAAACTCCCCGACCTCGAACGGGCATCGAACCCGTGCAGCGCAAAACAAGCTCAGTTCACCGCTCCATTCTACTGAATCAAGTACTGCGGAAACCACAACTGGGCAATGACGCTCTATTGCGCTAGTTCGCTAGCAGTGCAACGGATAGTGTTGTTTGCATGCAATCTGCCTGGGTGATAGCATCGAATAACGCTTATAGAAAAGCGATACCGATCTCGGCACTCGTCATGCCGACAAAAACAAATAAACCAATTCAGTTAATTAATAAAATTACTTAATAACCGAGTAGATATTCAACAAGAGAACATTGAATTCTTTGATAGAACAACGTCGTCAAAACGTTCACAATTAATAACATCGAAAGATTGAAAATGGATTTTAT